AACAGGCGATTCTGCGCCAGCAGCAACTCCTTTATCTCTGTCAGATCGCTGTTCTCGGCAAGGGATTGTTGTAACTCGTCCTCGCCCTTCTGCACGTCCATACGCAGCAACATCAGCTCGTCCTCCACGGATATCTCGTCGGCGGCCATGTCGGTTAATAGGGGTAGTTGAAGATTGTTGGGGTGATGACTCCTAGCTAGGTGATGTCACAGGCGTAGGTGATTTTTAGCAGTGAAGCAACGGCGCCTATCCCACTTCTGACACCAATTTGTAGCGGTACTGCCTCGGACGACTGCCCCGGCGAGTAGCGGCGAACGGCCTAGCCTCTACGGTCGGGTACGCAGATCCGTTTCGGCGGAGATTTACCGCCAGGCCCGCAGCAGACTACCAAAGGATCACCCTCACACGCACTCTCGCTCACACAACCCAAGCGGACTAACTAGGGGGACTGGGGAAGGATGGGGACCTGACACCAGATATGTGTTTCGGAAGATTATTTTATTCGCCTACCCAGTGATCTTATACTCAACCACCCTTTACAAACTCAGAGATTACATAATTATCTGGATTATAATGCAGGAATCATTAATTAACTACACTCACACAAAGTATGAGGCTCCCTCCGCTGCGACTTTAGGTGATTGGTGATTAGTTAATTGTGGGAGATTAGAATAGTGCAACTTTTCCTGAGACCGCGCTCGGGTTCCGGCCACAGCAGAAAGAGGGCGAAGCTGAGCGCATGGCCGCTTATATACACTGGCGCTATTGGCTGGTGCCCCCATAAACCTGGGTGAGTGCACGCGCACCCCGCTGGCTACCAGTACAGAACTAAAGTGCGCCCTCCATTAAATGCATTGCGCTACACTATCTATAAGGTCCGATAGTCCGAATCGACAAAAAAGGTCCGATAGTCCGAATCGACAATAAGGTTCAATAGTTCGAATCAACAAGGTCCGATAGTCAGAAGTGTCATACTGACGAACCGTGTTGCCCATTCGGACTATCGAACCTTATTCTCAATTCGGACTGTAACTGCTGGTGAGTTATTCCAAGCTTGCCACATGGTGGCGCTCTCCACAACTCATGAGGGCGCTCTTCATTGCTACCACAGATTCATGGTCCTTATTGATGACACATGTCTGTGTCCTAAATTTTTGACTCGTATTTTGACTCAGTATAATTTGATCATCCTTCCACCCCAGGACCTGAGGACAGAGGTAAACAAAGTTTGATTATTAGAGAACTTTATATTATTGCAGTTTTTGTGCTACATAAGTGTGATTTGGGTAAATTTAGGGCTAGATTTTCATTACATTATTTGCATCAGATGATCATTGTTGAGTGCACTTTCACTGCTAAGATGACCTTTGACCTTACATTTTTGAGGGTTTATTGCTACTATTTTTGATGCACATTTTAGATTAGTGATTTTCCTTTATTTTAAGATACCTTGTATTCTAATTAGAGTTAGTTTTGTTTTTGCTTTGTTGCAGTTTTTACGTGAACTCTGCAATCGCCACAGTCATATTTGGTAATAAATAAGCCAGGAATATACAGTGTTGAACTTGAAACAGTGTTGTTAACTACAACCGCCACAGTAAAAACTCTTCTTGGGATAAGATGTCAGACATGGATGATATACAGCTTGGTGATTCGGCTTCAGTTCTCAGCCATGGCAGTCGCAGTTCGAGAGCCAGCTCAAGACACTCGAACACAGAGCTGCTTCGTATAACAGAGGAGCAGAAGAGAGCAGAGCTTGCTGCTCGGTCTGCAGCTATCAATGAAGCACATGAGTTGGAGATATCAAGACGAACATTAGAAATGGAAAATCAACGACTCATGCAGCAGATAGAGATGTCACGACTGGAACTTCAAAGACGAGCGAATCAGCTGAGACTCCAGACAGAGATTAATGTGAGCAGCGCAAGACTTGAAGTTTTGGACAAGTTTGATGGTGAGTCCCCTCAGCAGCATAAGCCAGAGTTGAATGATGTAAATGACCTCCCCCCTATAATTGATGGTCCATTTACCGAGGCAGAAGCTGAGAACGTACCAAACGATAGTCCACAACATCGTGCTCGCAAACCAGAACATGGGACTTTGAATACCTTTCGAGACACACAGAATGATGGTGACAATTTCCCTAAAACCCCACCCCCTATGTCTACTCCACCTACTGGAATGTCGGATTCATCTGACGCAGTTCTCCCCCCACAGACCAGTGATGTACCCCGCAACGATGTGGCAAGTGCCATCACAGCACTGGCAGATGTGCTCACACACCGGGAGGAGAAATTGCCTAAGAAAGAACCAGAAATCTTCAAAGGCAGTGTATTCGACTTCCCCGTGTGGATGAATTCGTTTTCCGTCCTGGTAGAGCAGCGCTACACATCACCAATCGACCGCCTATACTATTTAGGCAGATACACGTCTGGTGAGGCCCGAGAGTGTATCAAAGGACTTCTCGCCTTGAACAGTGAGAACGCATACCAGAAAGCGAAGAAACTCCTGACTGAGCGGTACGGTAACAAGTTGCTAGCTGCAAGCACCTATCGTGAGAAAATAAGCAAATGGCCGACCGTGAAGCAAGACGACGGAAAAGGACTGCGTAATCTCTCAGATTTCCTTTTCCAGTGCGAAACAGCCATGTCAACTCTGAGCCAGTTAAAGGTTCTTGACGACCCAGCCGAGCACAAGAAAATTATAGAGAAGCTACCGAGGCAGGTGCAGGGTCGTTGGCTTCGTTTCGTCGACCAGTGCATGTATGGCCAGAAGGATGCAGAGGAAGGTGATTACCCGCCCTTTGCCGAGCTGTGCAAATTCATCGCAAAGGAGGCTCGCATTGCCTGTAGCCCCTTTCACCAAAAACCGATGGACGAGAAGAGGGAATTGACAACATGTGTCAAACCTACGAAGTCGGGAACAGCCACGACATTTGCCTCAAAGGCAGATGAGCTCACAACGAAGAAGAAGACTAGCCCCCTAAAGGGCAACACCCTCCCTTCACCCAATGCAAACAAGGCATCAACATGTCCCCTCTGCAAGAGCCAACATCAACTCGATTCCTGTAGCAGTTTTGCAGCCATGAGCCTTAGTGAAAGGCATGACCTCATCAAGAAGAGCGGCCTTTGCTTTGGATGCCTCAAATGGGGTCACAGAAGTCGCGAGTGTCGCCACAAGAAGCAGTGTGCAGTCTGTGGGCGCTCCCACCCTACTTTGCTGCACGACTTCTCCAAGTCTACTCCAGATGTGCAGACCAAAGATGACACCGATGACAAAGAAGTGGTTGTTGTTCAATCTACCACACATCGAGTGCAGACACTTGACGTCGGAGAAAATTGCTCACACACTCTCATCGTTCCCGTCGTCGTTCATCACATCAAAGAACCCTCTGCGAAGGTGATAGTATACGCCCTATTAGATGAACATTCCGATTCTTGCTTCGTCTCAGATTGGACACTAGAAAGGCTCGGAATCGATGGAGAGGCAGTCCAGCTGAGTCTGTCTACAATATTAGCGAAGGGCACTATATCATCCAGAAAGGTGCATGGCCTAACTGTCAAGGGATTGTCCGAGGACACCGAGATATAATTACCAGGCGCCTACTCCAGAGAATCTATCAATGCAAACCGTGAGCAGATTCCGAAGTTGGACACCGTGAAGGAGTGGCCTCACTTGAAACGAGTCGCCAACCTGCTACCTCCCTACTTGAGTGAAACCGAGATCGGACTTTTGATTGGCTGCAATGCAACTCGCGCAATCAAGCCGAGAGATGTCGTCCATGGAGAGGAAGATGCCCCATATGCAGTCAGAACAGCCCTTGGATGGGGAGTGATAGGAATGATGCGTCATGACAACGGTGGCAACAATGTTTGCAGAATTTCGAATGCATCAAAGGAGCAACAAGGCCACTTCGCCTTTCGCACCCAGGTGAAAGAAGTCAGCCCCCTCCAAGTCACAAAAATGTTCGAGATGGACTTCATCGGGAAAGACACCGAAGAAATGGTTTCCCACGATGACCGAAAGTTCATGCAGAAGATGAAGGATGGTATCCACAGACGTGATGATGGCCACTTTGAGATGCCCCTCCCACTCAAAACAGATGTCCAGCTCCCCAACAACAAGCCAGTAGCTCTGAAGCGGCTCAACAAGCAAAAAATGAAGATGTTGAGCAACCAAAAATATCGAGATGATTACAAGACCTTCATGGAAAACATCATCGAAAAGGGCTACGCAGAGAAGGTTCCGGACGAGGAACTTGACCTGGACAACAAGGCCGTGTGGTACATACCTCATCACGGGGTATACCATCCCAAGAAACCAAACAAGATCAGAGTCGTCTTCGACTGCAGTGCTGAATACGAGGGTGAAGTGTTGAATCGACACCTACTGCAGGGACCCGATGTGACCAACAATCTTGTTGGGGTTCTTTGCCGATTTCGGAAGGACCACGTCGCCTTCACCTGTGACATCGAAGGCATGTTTCATCAAGTTGGCGTCAACGTGGAAGATCGCAACTACCTGAGATTCTTGTGGTGGCCAGGAGGTGACATGAACCAGTCCCCAAATGAATATCGAATGACGGTTCACTCATTCAGCGCTACCTCTTCCCCAGCTTGTGCAAATTTTGCACTGAAGTGTGCTGCTGATGCATACGAAGATAGTTGTGGGACGGCGGCAGCCGACTTCATACGGAAGGACTTCTACGTCGATGATGGACTAAAGTCAGTCCCAACTTCCGATGAAGCCCTGAAGTTGATAGAAGACAGCAGACGGCTGTGTCAGAAGAGTGGATTTCACCTTCATAAGTTCATCTCCAATGACAAGGTGGTTGTGAATTCCATACCTCTCAGTGAACGAGCCAAGGATTTCAGAACGTTGACGTGTTCTCAGAAGGCCTTCCCATAGAGCGTACTCTAGGTGTACAGTGGTGTGTTGGATCCGATGCTTTCCAGTTCAGAGTCCACTTCAACGACAAACCACCCACTCGTCGCGGCATCATGTCGAGCGTCAGCTCCATATTTGATCCACTTGGTCTGGTAGCACCAGTCTTGCTTGTTGGAAAACGCATTCTCCAAACCTTGTGTCGTGATGGGTATGCATGGGACGATCCAATCTCAGAGGAAATCAGATCAGAGTGGGAGAAATGGAGGAACGACATCCTGCATTTGGCATCACTGAATATCCCACGATGCTACAAGCCTGAGAAGTTTGATGTCATCAAGTCCGCAGAACTGCATCACTTCTCCGATGCCAGTACCGAAGGCTATGGTCAGTGTAGCTACTTGCGACTGATAGACGACAAAGGAGGTGTATGTACAACTCTGGTCATGGGAAAGTCCAGAGTAACTCCTTCGAAGCCAGTTACCATCCCTCGACTGGAACTTACATTAGCCGTCATCTCGGTGAAAGTCAGTACTTTCCTCATGAAGGAACTAGAGTATAGCGATGTGACTCAGTTCTACTACACTGATAGCAGAGTCGTACTCGGGTATATTGCCAATGACAGCAAGAGGTTCCACATATTCGTCGCCAACCGCGTGCAGAAGATCAGAGATCACACCACACCTGAAGATTGGCGACATGTTGACACTAAAACTAACCCAGCAGATGCAGCTTCCCGAGGTCTTTCTGCCGAGTCGCTCATCAAGAGCAAACTCTGGTGGAGTGGTCCAGGTTTCCTACAAGAAAGAGAAACCCCTCCACCTGACACTGAGTACATGGAGCCAAGTTCAAACGACCCAGAGGTGAAGAAGGCATCTGCATTCAATGTCCACACTGAGGCCTCCAACTACCCGAGCATGCTTGAAAGATTCCAGTCCTACTCAAACTGGTTTCGCCTGAAACGTGCAGTAGCATTGTGCCAACGCTACATGAAGAAGCTTAGAGATCGCTGCTTCAAAACAGCTACTACTGCACCTGATGCCAACACCCCCCTCACTGTAGACGAACTCCAGCATGAAGAACGACTGATACTGAGGCTAACTCAAGAGGAAGCATTTCCAAAGGAAATTCGAGCCCTCAGCAAACCCGATGGTCTTCCTAATGGCGAGCAGCAAGGCCCAGGAAACCCCCTGAACAAGAGCAGTCCTCTGTATATGCTTGACCCAGTCATAGATGAAACGAAGCTGTTGAGAGTCGGTGGACGCATCAAGCAAGCCAAAGCACCTAAAGAGATCAAGCATCCCATCTTGCTTCCACGTCATGGCCACGTGACTGACCTGGTGATTGAACACTACCATGTTCAGAGTTGTCACTCAGGCCGTGGCATGACACTGAATAGCATTCGCCAAGCTGGCTTTTGGATTCTGGGGGCAAGATCAGCTGTTACCAGCCATATTTGGAAGTGCGTGACCTGCCGCAAACTCAGACGTGCTCCCTGTGGGCAGAAGATGGCAGAACTACCCAAGGACAGATTGGATCCATCCGCACCCTTCACTTATAGCGCTGTAGACTACTTTGGTCCCTTCATGATTAAAGAAGGACGAAAGGAGCTAAAAAGATGGGGGGTCATCTTCACCTGTATGGCATCCCGCGCAGTCCATATCGAGACAGCTAATTCGCTGAACACCGACTCATTCTTGAATGCCTACCGCAGATTCACATGTAGAAGGGGTCCAGTGAGACAACTCCGCTCCGATAGAGGCACAAACTTCATCGGTGGAAAGAATGAACTGGACGCTGCCCTAGCCGAGATGGATCAACCCAAGATTTCTCAAGAGCTGCTAAAGGACAGTTGTGATTGGGTGACATTCAATATGAACGTTCCCACAGCCAGTCACATGGGAGGCACATGGGAAAGGCTCATCCGTTCAATCAGACAGGCGCTCTCAACATTGCTGCAGAAACATGGGCAACAACTGGATGATGAGCTCTTGAGGACCCTCATGACCGAGGCTGAAGCAATTGTGAACAGCCGACCTCTCACCTACGTTGACATGGTGGCCCCAGATTCAGAAGAGCCCCTCACGCCAAGCCAACTGCTAACGCTGAAAAGCAAGGTAGTTCTCCCTCCGCCAGGAGTCTTCATCCAACAAGATCTTTATTGCCGACGCCGATGGCGCAGAGTCCAGTACCTTGCCAACCAGTTCTGGTCACGTTGGAAGACTGAGTATTTGTCGACCCTACAAGAGCGGAAGAAGTGGCAGAAGGCTCAGCAGAATCTGGAGATAGGCAACATCGTCATGATGGTCGACGACTCCACTCCCCGATGCCAGTGGCAACTCGCTCGTGTGGTTGAGACGTACCCAAGCTCAGACGGTCACATCAGGAAGGTCAAGCTCCAAACTGGTCGATCTGTCTTCGAGAGGCCTATTCATAAGGTTGTACTACTGTTGGACCAGGGACGCCCCGACGAGGAGCCAAATGCCTGAACTTGAGCCGATACATGAACTGTACTTAAAGGAGCCACGTAGTGTTCACATTCTCAGTAGTATAGTAGTTACTATTTCCAGTTTTGCGCCTTTAGTCAAGTTTAATGTTAAAATTGTTAATGTTGTTAAGTAATTTGAAAGGTCAAATTAGGGGAGCCATGTAACTGCTGGTGAGTTATTCCAAGCTTGCCACATGGTGGCGCTCTCCACAACTCATGAGGGCGCGCTTCATTGCTACCACAGATTCATGGTCCTTATTGATGACACATGTCTGTGTCCTAAATTTTTGACTCGTATTTTGACTCAGTATAATTCGATCATCCTTCCACCCCAGGACCCGAGGACAGAGGTAAACAAAGTTTGATTATTAGAGAACTTTATATTATTGCAGTTTTTGTGCTACATAAGTGTGATTTGGGTAAATTTAGGGCTAGATTTTCATTACATTATTTGCATCAGATGATCATTGTTGAGTGCACTTTCACTGCTAAGATGACCTTTGACCTTACATTTTTGAGGGTTTATTGCTACTATTTTTGATGCACATTTTAGATTAGTGATTTTCCTTTATTTTAAGATACCTTGTATTCTAATTAGAGTTAGTTTTGTTTTTGCTTTGTTGCAGTTTTTACGTGAACTCTGCAATCGCCACAGTCATATTTGGTAATAAATAAGCCAGGAATATACAGTGTTGAACTTGAAACAGTGTTGTTAACTACAACCGCCACACGGACTATCGAACCTTATTGTCAATTCGGACTATCGAACCTTACCATATATTCGGGCTATCGAATCTTATCATCAATTCGGACTATCGAACCTTCGGATTAATTAACCTTATTCTATTTTCGGACTAATGGGCCCTTCGGACTATCGAACCTTTGGAGTATTGAACCTTCGGACTATTGAGCCTTCGGACCAACGAACCTTCGGTGACTAATGACCCTTCGGACTATCGAACCTTCGGACTATCGAACCGTCGGACTATCGGGCTGTAACCCATGCAGCTACATCGGATTACTACAAGCAGCTCCCTGGCCAGGTGCTGGATTGAACTGGCATCAGCGCTGTCAGACTTGAACACGCGGCAGTCACTTGATCCCCTCTCAAACTCATCATTCATTGAAGCTTTCTTTACAAATGGGATTGCAGTTCTTGCAGTGAAATTCAGATTGGACACTTTGGCCTGCCCTGACACTAATAAGTGAATCTGCCCGTGCTTCCCGGCCACTAGCCCTACTTTACATCCATGGCATACCTTAAATGTTCTGTTAACAAGCAAGCGCTTGAAGCAGTTCGGGTAGTCATCTATAGCTACGTGCGCATTTACATGCACATTCCTGCTGCCCGGCCTAACAACGGTGTGAATTTCTGATTAAGAACAGATAATATTCCATTCAAAGGCCTAAATATCGACCAAATCACACACAATACGGCTTTCAATATATAATTAACTCTTAATACGTTTAGACAGCAAAAATAAAATCAGTATCACGTGAAATTATACTTTTCCAAGTTACCGTCGGTGCAACCTCGTGCCCCGTGGGTACGATCTTGCAGCGCCATGTTGTTTCCCATCCTGCCTTGTGCGATCGTAACCCCTGGTATTGTGTAATTTAAATATACCAAAATACGGTTTATTATAATTAGGGCTGCAGTTTATCCGTTTTACGTGCCGACGCCATCTTTAAAATGTTAAAAGTTGTGATTTTGAAGAATCATTCCTTTCAAACAGAACGTTTGGACGTTGTGTTAATTAGCAAAGATTTGTATTAAATGTACGTACCCCTTTCGTGCCTTTACAACCACAGATACAGGGTTTTTTTTTAGCGAAAAACGCGGCTGACATAATCCATATCGTACAGGCATCGCGAATCATAAATTTTTTTTCGTACGTGACGTTACGTGCAAAGCTAAGCACGCCAGTGCGAGCGCATTATGGCGCCCGGCGTGCAATCTTCGAAATGCCGACGCAGTACGCTGTGAATAACCATTCAGCGTCATTTACGTCATCATCACAGCCAAGGGTTAGTGTAAGGAACCAGCACGCGCCCCTGGAGTCGAGGCTGCCGTCGGTGCGTCGTCTGCCGCAGTCGCATGTGGTCATAAATCCTGAGCATTAGCTGTTACAATGTACGTACATCGAGGAAAGTCACCAGACGAATTAGGGAAGGGCGCCCTCCATAGTTCAGGTACAACAAACTCAAATTTTGATCTACAAAAAGTGCTTGAAAAACACCTTTCCACTCTATAGAAAAAATTAGATCTTTCACATGTTGTTTGTACATTTACTTGAAGATGATTGAAGCTTGAATGGTTTTTATTGCAATTTGTTCTAGGTCAAAATTGGCTGGACTAAACGTACAAACAAACAATCATCTGTCTGTATTACGACTTTTGTTGGTGGCCCTGCCTCAGGGTGTGTTCCAGCCTGAAACTTCCGTCAGTTGTTGGTTTTGCTGTTCGCTCAGTCATTGCAATCAAACTGGACACATTTCCAAGAGGTATATCCCATCCCACTGTGATAAGGATCGTAGTATCTGTCTTCTGTCAATTGCCGGGAAAACTATGCACGAGTCTTAGTCAACAGACCAGTATTGGAGCAAAGGCTTTGACCCTCAAGGCCAAGGCCAAGGCCAAGGCTTTGACCCTCAAGCCTCGAGGCCAAGGCCAAGGCTTAACCCCCAAGGCCAAGGCCAAGGCCAAGGCCAAGGCCAAGGCCCTGTTTTATGAAATTACCACATATAGAACTAATTATAGTCACATGAGTGACACATCATCATGCAAGGGCGGATCCAGAAGACAATTTGGGGGGTGGGGTAAATAAATTTTGGTCCCCCCCCCAAAAAAAGTGGGTCAACAAATTACGGCTTAGACTTCGGGGCCCGCTTAAGGGCCCCGAAATTTTTTTGGATTCGAGATGCTCTGTGGTGCGATCTGAGGCAATTTCTGACCATTTTAACCGATTTTTTTTAGGAAATGATGGTGGTGTACTCATTGCCTGCCTTTATTACGACGTCACATAAAAAAATGGTTTCGTTTTTTTTTGTTGGGGGGGGGGCATTTATTTCCTGGCCCAACATGGTCAGAAATATCAGCATTATCTAAAACAGATACATGCAAATCTTTAGCACTTATCAGGGAGACATATACAACTAATCAGATCTATTCCATAGTAATATGCAATTAAAGTGATCATCTCATTAGCCCCACAAGTGTACGGAATATTTTTGCAGCAAAACTACAACAATGGTAACAAAATGTAATGCTACAAAAGTGGAAGTGTGCCCAACACACAAATCTATAGGGTGCTTCCCTCCTCCATGGTAATACGATTAAAATGGTAACAGCAAAATTTCGAACAGATTTATCTGGAAAATGCAAAAATCTATGGGCCTTGAAGAGCCTTGGCTCAAAATTGCAAGGCCCTGAACCCTCAAGGCCAAGGCTAAGGCCAAGGCTTTTGCCCTCAAGCCTCGAGGCCAAGGCCAAGGCCCTAAAATCCAGCCTTAAGGCAGCCTTAAGGCCAAGGCCCAGCATCAAGGCACTACATCACTGCAACAGACTGACTAGTTACAAGTCATCATATGTATACAAGTGCTGGGACAATGCCGCAGCTGATAGATCAATGTGGAGGTGCATGATCAATGAAGCCGCAAAGTTATAGAAATCACTGCCAAAAAAACCTGTTTGACAGACGAGCCAAGCAGAAAGAAAACATACCACCGGTCCAGAGTCCACATGTAACCGTGTTTGTAAATCCCAAACGGGGCTTACTCTACACATGCGGTCAATTAACACGGACTGGTGTCACCCGATGGATGCTTGTTCGTCGACGTCGAAGAGATACTGCATCGTAACCTATTATTCGGAGCTTTGTGTTATATTTGTATTAGATCATTTCTAGTCTAGGGACAATTCCTGGTACCTTTGAACTTGAACACACGTTAACAGACCTTTAGGATCACGACAAACATTTACCAACACAACTACAAGAAACAAAATATAATGAAACGTAATCGTGGCATTTGAAGGAATGCATATATGTATACACATATTAAAATGTTCAATATTTTCTATGTATTTCTTTAAGGGGGAATTCCTGGTACCATTGAGGACCCTCGCAGACTTGGAGAATGCCAAGAGGGCTGCGCGGGTCATCAACGATCACTCGCTGGCCAAGATAGTCACAAGAAAGAGAAAGATCCGAAAGTCTCGGAAGACGATATTTCTGTCCGTGCTTTCCCGAAACAAGTTCGGGGACACGTCTTTATCACCATTGTGTAACCTAAAGGTGGCTACAGCCGAGGATGCTCAATGCAGGTTGTTAGCTATCATAAGTATGATAACATAACCTTAACGCATGAGGGTACATGGCAAAAGTGCATTACTGATTTCTTAGGATGCACTTTGTCAAGATCTTGGGCCGGACCTTGTGTTGTTTTTGCTGGGTGCATACCTATGTTCCCGAATACCGATGTTCCCCAACCCTAACCCTAATCCTAACCATAACCAGGCTAACCGTTATCCTAAAGATTTCGTGGAACATCGGTGTTGGGGAGCATAGGTATTGGGGAACATCGAGTGGACCCTGTTTTTGCTCAGCCATGCATAAATATAGGCCTGGACTATGCTTGAAATCCTCCGTAATGCTCCAGGATGTCACTTGCCATCGGCCAAGCCTCAACATATTGACAGTCACTGCTGCAGGATTTTGCAGGATTGAGGTTGCATCCTAGCAAAAGGCCTATAGGGAGTTAGTCAAGTTAAACAAGAAGTTACTGCCTACCGGTTAGCCCTATATGTGACGTGCTGTAATGCTGGGTCTTTTAACTATATTTCCCATGGAGACTCTATACGCAATGTACATTACATTGGCAATCAACTTTAAATGAAGAAAACTTACAACAGAGACACATCTCGGATGATTTTTCCCTGACCCTCAGCACCAAATAACACAAGTGACTCCATTTAAGTCTTGTTGTGTTCCTTTTAAATCTATTTTGGTGCAAACATTAACCACGTCTCGACATCTTCCATAGATCAGTTGAGTGTGACATCCAGCTATTTGTGAAAAGTTCTTTGGCATCACCTCTATGTCTCCAACTGCATACATCCACCAACGTCTCAGCCTTGAAAGGAATACTTCAGGACAAACTGGGCATCGAGCCAGAGAGGCAACATCTCATAACCAGGAGAAATCATGAGGTATATTAAATTTAGCAAATAATCCAATAAATCAATATCTTAAGCTTAATCAAGATAGTTTGATACTGGAAATATTTATTTTGCTTCCACCTTAAAGTAAAGTAATTTAACGGCCTATATAGCTTCTGGAAAACCAATATTCGAAAGAATGTGCACGTATCCCAGGTGTCTTCTAATGTAAAAAAAAAAAAAAAAAAAATCCCTCAAGCAATACTTTTTGTCTCTTGCCCTCCCCCTCTCTTTTTCTTCAAATTTTGTGTTGCATGGATAACTACTATTTCAGATTACGAACGGGAATGACACAAAATATAAATCTTGGAGATTTTGGGATGGTATGAAGTTGAGATCCTAGCAGAACTATTGTTAAAAGCCAAATCCTCGTTCAGTCTTTGAAGTACATGTAAACAATCTTCCGAATAACTCTCTGTATAGTTATTACAGTTCGAATGACCCTAGCGTTTTGATTCAAATGAGTTGTATAGGATGCTCATTTGAATCAAAACGCTAGGGTCATTCGAACTGTAATAACTATACAGAGAGTTATTCGGAAGATTGTTTACTGTGACATGCCACATTAAGAAGTAAATTATTTTGTTTGTTGTTTTCAGCTTCGTGATGGATTCACCCTAAAGGATCATGGGATTGTGCAAGAAACCAAAATAGAGTTACGCCCTGCGTCTTGGTTGAATGGTGAAGCTGACCGACGAAAATCCGCAGGTAAACTCGTATACATAGTTTCACTTGGTGCATGGGTTGATGATGAACAAAATTTGCTACATCAACTTGTATGTAATAGTAACACTTGTTGTCTGCATTGGTTAATCGGTTCGACCTTTTCAAATGTTAAACAAAAATCAGCAGGAAATGCGTGTAGATTTGCAACCGAAGAACAATAGGTTAATGGGTGGAGCTGGTGAACAAAAATAAGCACCAAAAGGATATCCAAGTCAGCAGGTAAGGTATATATATAGCGTTAAACTTACACACCTATAGCAATGAACCCCCTACCCACTGCCTCAAGTCTTATGTCGGAGTTTGGTCACGTTTTCCAGCCCGGGGTGGGCATTTGTGGTCACTCACAAAAATTTCCAACTTTTGCAAACTAGATAGAAAGGCAATCAGTTTGTGCGCCCCACCCTAGTATGTCGGAGATAGTAACCTAACTTTTTTATGTCGGCTTTTGTCACTTCAAAAGCGACAATCCCCATGTTTTGGTGGGGCAGACCGGGCGGACAATTATTGATAGGGACATTATAGTGTATGGGTATATGGACGAACCAGATTAACCTGATGACCTAATATATTGATATCACAGTGCGACAATACTTGGCATACGTGTCATAGGTTATCTGTAGAAGTACCACTACCACCTATGAGTGGACCATGGGGGACAAAAACAGAGGCACGGCTTTACAGATAGAGCTGATCATATAGGCCTAAAGAAATCAACAGCTGAAGTCTGCAATTGCAAATATTATTATGTGGAATAATTCCTTGGTGATTGTTTAATTTTTGAAATACCAGGGAGGCGGATTAGGCGAGGTCAGAGAAATCGAAACAAGAAATCCTCATCTACATATGATGCTAAGGGACAATCTGTCTCAGGTGATGAAGTTCAAGATCATTTGGATGATTCGGTGGATTCCCCTACTTCCCCGGCAGTCGATGCTCAGGCTTGTGATCAAACAGATCCTGGTAAAATAAAACCTTTGAATTTCGATTTAATTACTTTTGAAGCAATCGGAAGATCCAGCTTAAAGTAAAATAACCTTGAGGTAACTCCGAAGTCGGTACGTATACCTTTAATTATTATGCAGTAAGAAACAAGAAAAGAAAAAGAAGACATCGAAGGAAAACCGGCGAGAAAACTTCTTCTGAGCCTGAAGACGAATCCAACAGCCAAACGACCTCCAATGATAATTCATTGGGTACCCACACTTCCTCAGCATCCAATGCCGCTGTTAATAACCAACCAGAAGGTAACATACTATTTCAGTCATATTATGAGGAAAATCATTTTATTCAGCGTCTTGCTCCAGTCGAATCTCATGCTGCAGTCAAATGGGAGGCCCTACAAATCTGAATTTGTGAATCCTTCAAAATGCTAAGAGACAATCCATCTCAGGTGATGAACATCAAGATCATTTGGATGTCTCGGACATACCCTACTTCCTCGGCAGTCGATTTTCAGGCTAGGATCAGTCAGCACCTGGTTAAATAAAATCTGAGTGTAGTGTTTTAATTAATGTTCAAACACTCGATTGTTTTGGCTTTAGTAAAATTAACTTGAGGTTACTCTGCAGTCTTAACTTTTACTTATAATGCAGTAAGAATCCGGAAAAGGAAAAGAAGACATCAAAGGAAAACCGGCGAGAAACCTGCCTCTGATGAAGAGGCCAACAGCCAAACAGCCTCCAGTGATAATTCGTTGGATTCCCCCATCACCTCAGCAGCCAATGCCGCCATTAATAACGAACCAAAAGGTAAATACTATTTCAGTCATATTGTGAGGTAAATCATTTTATTCAGGGTCTTGTTTAAGTTGAATCTCGTGCTGTGATCAATTGGGAGGCCCTACAAATCTTAAGTTGTGCATCACTCAATAAAGGGACAATCCATTTCGGGTGATGAAGATCAAAATCATTTGGATGACTCGGGGGATTCCAATACTTCCTCGGCAGTCGATGCTCAGGCTAGTGATCGGTAAGAACCTTGTTAAAGAAAATGTGAGTATAGTGATTTAGTTAATGTTTAAACCCTCGGAAGTTTTGGCCTCAGTTAAAGTAACTTGAGGTTACTCTGAAGTCTTTACTTTTAATTATTATGCAGTGAGAAGCCGGAAAAGGAAGAAAAGACATCGAAGGAAAACCGTCGAGAAAACTACCTCTGAGCCTGAGAAAGAAGCTTACAGCCGAACAGCCACAAATGATAACCCGTTGGATACCCCCACTTCCTCAGCAGCCAATGCCGCCTTTAATAACGATCCAAAAGGTAATAATATGTCAGTCATATTATGAGGTAAACCATTTTATTCAGCGTCTTGCTCCAGTGAAATCTTGTGCTGCGATGAAAGGATAGGCCCTACTAATCTTTATTTTGCATCCTTCACAATTTTAAGGCACTATCCATCTCAGGTGATGAAAGTCAAGTTCATTTGTATGACTCGCGGGATTCCCCTACTTCCTCGGCAGTCGATGCTTGAGCTATTGATCAGTCAGAACCTGGTAAAATATAATCTGAGTGAAATTAGGTTTTACCCTTCACCTAATTTGATTTATATCACCCCGACGCAAAATTCCATCTTATAATAGTTTATGCGGTACCCGCGGCTATGTACATCAGATTCGAACCAGCCAATCGATCCCGTTAGCTCGGTGGTTGAAGGGCAAAACCTAGTTTGATTTATATCACCCTGACGCAAAATTCCATCTTATTATAATCTGAGTATAATGAAATCTGCCTATAGTGATTTATTAAATGTTCAAACCCTCGGAAGTTTTGGCCTCAGTAAAATCAACTTGAGGTTACTCTGCAGTCTTTACTTTTTATTATTATGCAGTAAGAAACCGGAAAAGAAAAAGAAGACATCGAAGGAAAACCGGGGAGAAACCTTCCTCGGATGAAGACGCCAACAGCCAAACAGCCTCCAGTGGTAATTCGTTGGATACCTCCATTTCCTCAGCTACCAATACCGCGGCCATTAATAACCAATCAAAAGGCGAAATACTGTTTCAGTCATATCATTATGTAAACCATTTAAACATATTTGTTCACCTTCTTGTTCCAGTCGAATCTCGGTCAAATGTTATAGATCATTTTTGTACATCCTTTAGGGATACAGAAGAAAAGACGTAGAGGAAGGAAAGCTGGCACACAATCTTCATATGAAGACAAAACTAATAGGCAGTCTTCCCAAGCTGAGGGAACTCAAGAAAGCTCTAATGGACTTGACGATTCTCAAACCGGCCACTCGACAGCCGGTGTTGCAGGTAGCACCCAGTCAAAGTCTGAGAAATTCAACCTCTTGCTTTGGATGTTGTGCTTTCCATTTGCTGCACTTGGCTACATTCTGAGCATGTGTAGCGTTTGCGTGTTGTCTCTCATTACCCTATCCGAAGAAGACGCCAACAGAAAACCGTCGGGTGACAAGGAGCGAATCAATTTAGTTAACCAAAGCAAATCTTCAGGAGCAGATGTCAGCATCTCACTCAAAGGTTAAAATTCGCTTTCGCGTTATTTAACCCTAAAAGGGCCGTGGGCGGAATCCGCAACTTTTTCCGCGATAGCCTTGAATTTTTTTTTTCGAGACCCAAGCTGTTATGACTTTTTACCCTCGAGACTTGCACATCTTTTGACACCAAAACATTTTCACGCGCCGTGAAAACTGAATTTTCCTTTGTACGTCGTGTTCACAGAGCATTGCCATTCGTAAATGAATATTTAATTAGCCATAATTCCAAAACCCTTCTACCTATAGTCATGACATTTCTTGGGTATGTTTATGAAGAGTTGTTCTATGCATGTACCGAGTTTCAAATTTTTCATCAATCGACGGCCGCGATCTTAGGGGGGGGGGATCCGCCCCCCCCCCACCCCCTGGCTGACAGATGGTCAAAATAACCCGGCCCTTTTAGGGTTACTTTTCAATTACAATTCAGAATCTGTTAATCATGCCGATGACACATTGCAAGTATTAAATAAAACGATATTTTTTTTTCAATTCTCTTAGAGAGAAAGAAGACAAGAAGGGGCCGACGGAAGACAAACATTAAACCATCACGTAAAGAACAACCTACTGAAGATCAGAGGGGACAAGAAAATTTTGAAAACTCTGAAAAGTCCGAGAACTCTGAAATCTCCTCAGTAGCTAGTGTTGATGCCAGCGTCCAGTCAAAATCTGGTAAACTTGACATCTTGTTCATTTTTATTTCTTGTTGAAGTCAACAGTATATTTTTTAAGTTATCCGTCATTCATGTCAGCTTCCTTTGCTTGTCTTTTAGTAAAAAAAACAGTTATTGCTATTACAAACTTTGATTTAGAATAGATTTACCATCGTATTTAACTTTTTATCAATATCTCTTTTAGGAAATAAGAAGAGGTGCAGAGGACGACACAATGATTTTAACAATTCCTCATCTAAAGATCTCAAAAGACAAAGTCCTCCAATTATTGATAAAGAGCGAGAGGACTCCGATGACTCATCTTCCATCCCCTTAGAAACACCGGCCGCTACAAGAAAGCAATTACAAACTGGTAAAATTCCCAAAGTATCTGTCTTTTCATTAATTAAAAAACACGCTTGGTATAACTTTGTTGATACCTACTCTTGTTGATACATAATCTTTTACTCTCAGAAAAAGCTCGGAAATCTAAAAGAACAAAGAATAATTCTGCGAGGACTAAAAAGGGAAAAAGAAACAATCCCAAGAAAGTCTTACCTGGAGAAGATACTAAGGGAAAGACAAGCCTTGTTGAGGAAGAGCAACGGATCTTAGATGACTCTGTGGATTCTTATACCTCATCAGAAGTCAAGACAGCCACTAGTTGCTCAACAAAGACCAGTAAATATTATTCTCATTTATAAAATTTAATTGATGATGTTCACTTCAGGCCAGGCCACTAAAGTTCAACGACTATTCTCAATTTTGTCTACAGGGAAAAGACAGAGAAGAAACAAGACTAAGAAGAATTTGAGAAGAAGGAAAGGAAGAAAAACAACAGGCAAAAGAAACACAAACTTAGCTGATAAAGAGCAAGACAAATCGGATGACTCTAGGGACTTGCCCTCCTTCCTTAAAACCGAAGATGGAGCAACAATTCAGTCAAAACTTGGTAAAATATAAACCTCGAGTACATGTACTTCGATGCAAATGATTTCTGTTCACCTTAATTCATTTCGAAAGAATATTTTGGTCGTGTGAAGACTCGACTGAAATCAAAGTAGGACATTTTCATTTCAATCTTCGTTGTTTTCATATTTTACAGTTCATAAACGAACAAGACGGAGAAAAACTGCCCAAAAACACTTCCATGAAGAATCCAGGAGACAAACTATTTCAGGTGATGAAGAGCCAAAGAACCTAGATGACTCGGATTCCTCCAATTCATCAGCAACCATTACCGCCACTTGTAACCAAACAAGGGGGGAAATTGATTGATCATTATTCTTGATATATAGCATACCATTTTAACAGCTGTAAAGATCTTGTTGTTCAAATAGATTCCCGATATGATGCGGCAAGTTAATACAAAATCTTCCATAAATATTTCGTTTTGGTAGAGAGAAAGAATAAAAGGATACGAAGAAAGACTGCGGATAAACCATCATGTGAAGATGAAACTAAGCTGTCATCGACCCAAGCTGAGGAAAATGTATCGAACTCGGGAGATACCCCAACCTCATCAGTATCTGGTGCCAAAGTTCTCTCACAGTCAGGGCCTGGTAACATCATATTTTCGTTTCTGATCTTTACTCAGGCCGCACTTATAAAAATTGTCTTTAGATAAGCAGACTCTGTCCTTCCCCTGCCGGGAAAAGACACAAATTGACAAATATAAGTGACGACTAGCAACGAAACTGGCCTCACATCAGAAGCCAACACCGTCGGCATTAATCGGTCATGAACACCAAGGTTTTTGTATGCAATTTGTCACTTAATTTCTTGATCTTACAAACAACTCTGTAAACACTTGTGCCTTTGTTAGGAAATCTCACAGTGAGTCAAATAAAGAGGAAACAATCGTGTTGTTGTAAAAACAATGTGTTTGATTATTTTTGTAGGGAACATGGAAACATCACAAGAAAACGGTCAGGAAGAGGGCTATTGCGGCCAAACGTCCTCAAACGATGTACAGTCGGAGAATGCAGAGGATTCACCCAACTCAGCTGAAGGTAAAACTGTGCAATAAAATTGGTTTTACACGTATTGCATGCTATTTGCCATTTCGTTAAGGTAAAGTGCGAACCATATGCATGGAGGCCCGGCGTGTTTATCCTTCGTGACCAGCCATTAGATTTTGCATCACTGTTTTGATCAATATATTATGCATAATGTTTGGAACAGCGATTGCCACATTTGTTGTTTATTCATAGTATAATTGGACTTTTAGTGCAATTTGAATTGAGACCTAAATCAAGCCTTATGATGAAAGTAATAGACCAGATGGCTGCGTTAAACACAAGTGGTTCTTATTATTTATGCTTAGAGAGAAACAAGACACAAGCAAATGCTGCCAAGAAACCATCACTTGAAGGGAACGAAGAACGCCCGATCCAGCTGTTCATGAATAGTACTTCGATGGGACCAATATGCCTGCAAATGCATCCATCAACTCTTATCACAATCTTGGAAGGAAAACTTCAAAACCAACATGAGATTGAACCAGAGAAGCAGCATCTTTTCGTCAGACAAAACCACGAGGTAACGTCTACTGTATATTTTATACTCGTTTTTTCTAAGATTCATTGTCCCGTAAAAAAACTGTTGTCGCTCTAGCTAGCAATCACACGCTTGTAGTCTTAGAATGTCTTGAATGAATCATTTCAATTCACTTGATTAAACGAGTTGAAATTTTCCCTTTCAAGCCCCGTGATGAGCAAGATGCTAACATAGAGATACAACTGGTATCAGGGTTAATGCACAGAGCTACCGGTGAACAGAAATCAGCAGGTAAATCTTGATCTTGATCTTGATCTTGATTGATAGGCATCGTGTCAGAGTTGAGCCAGATTGAACTGTATGTAAATAAATTGTGTAGTATATTTCCCCAGTTTTGTTTGCTGTCACTAAAGCTTGTTGCACTATTTGTTTTGCTGGATTTGCAAGTGTTGATTGTCCATTTTATGCTGTGATGTCATTGATTTGCATTTGAAGTAACATGTGTATGGCTCTAGAATTTGGACCATGCATCTTAGACTCCACAGGGTAAGTGTTCACAATGGGACTGGTATTTAAACAATTGGGTGGGGTCTTTTAGTTATGTGCATTGGAGTGTGAGGCAGTGGTGTGTGGGTAGATATGACCACAAATTCGTAGCCTTGTGGAGACTCACACACAATAGTGAACAAAACATTGTAAAGGTCTCCACATGGCAATTTCTATAGATGAATAGGTCTCCACAAGGTTTTCACGAAATAGATATATGGGTTTTACTCAATACTCTTCGTGGCGTGTTTTGCCTTGGTGGCATAATTTATTGCCTAAGTGGCGTAATTTGTGGCCTTAGTCGCGTAATTTTGTTCCCTGAGTGGCGTTATCTGCCTTGGTGACGTAAATTGCCTGTGTGACATATATTTTGTCTGTGTGGCTTAATTTGATGGTTTAGCCTGGTGACATCTTTGGGAAATTTGCCTTGGTGGCACATTAACTAATTGGATCGTGCAGAGTGAGTCGAATTCCTTTAATTGTTGGTGTAAAGTTCCTGGTGTAGTCGTAAATTGAATTTCATTGATGTGTTAGTTAAAAACTTGGTAATTGGAGCTCCTTTGGTTGATTTATTGGTGAATTGGATTTTATTGGATTATTATTTGAGTGCTGTTGCGTTCAAATTCGGGTTCACTTTAAAGTCTTTTGAACGAGTGGAGAAAATTGTAACATAAAGATTTTAATATTGAAGAGAATTGTAAATGAAGAAATAGTGTAAATAAGTGAACCTCGGGAGTGTAAATAAATTTGTATAGATTAATTTGACACTTGACTAACCGAGTCTGTTTACTGACTGAGTTCTCACACATCGTCGGGTGATGCTATGAACTGTTGCAACTCCAAAGCAGTTGAAACGGGCATTACTAAGTCATGAAAGCCTAATATAAATGTCCTCCTGTTTTTGTAGGAGATTGAGTTTATTCCAAGCAGACTACGCATAGATAGCTTGAAAACTCCTGTTTGTTTGATCGTATAGGAAGACCACGAAAGACAAGAACAACGAAGAAGATGAGAAGAAAGACAAGGGAAGGAAGAAGACGAGCTGCCAAGAAATCTCCATCTGTTAATGCAGACACATGTCTCCATGATAAAGATAAAGTGAACTCGAAGGATTCCTCCATCTCCTCGTCAATCGATGTCACCGCTACTGAGCAATCCAAATCTGGTAAGATGTTCGTTTGTTTTAAATGTAGTTTCAAATAAGGGTGATTGTTTATTTTATAGCATTTCTTGAACAAAAGGTGCCCAGTAGTTTTGACCATATTATTATAGATTGATTGGCAATCTTTCCAAGGACACAGTTTTAAAACTTAATTGTAATTATCATTGTTTTGGTGCTTTTTAGGATGCCATGTGGGCTCCAAAAACCACGCACCTGGTAAGATAAAGAATTGCAATGACAGTCTTCAGCGAAAGAAACAGCAAGGCACGGTTAGTGGAAAAGAAATCAACCAACGGGATATTGAGACATCGCGGGAGCAACAGAGACTCACAGATGAACGAGACAGGCCTCAGTCAGAGGACAGCGAAGCAACGGAAGCCAAAGACAAAGGCTGTCAACTGACATCCTATGAAAAAGAAAGACATGGAACCGGAAAGGAGAATACAGACGGTTGTCAGAAAGAGAATGTGGAAACGGTCAAGCACAGTGTTGAGAGCTTTAAACAAGTAAAGGTGCTATCACCTGAGAAAGAGAAACATGGAGAGGAGCAGACTTGTGATCAAGACGGACCCCAGAAAGAGAAGCAGCAAGGCGCAATGGTCAAGGAACAGAACTGTCAACAAGGGTTGACGGCATCGTTAAAGAAACCAATAGCGGATGAAGACTCCCTTGAGCAGATTAACGATCTAAGAAGATCCGAAGCCAGGAGAAAAGAGAGCTGCCACCATGAGAAGAGGGAATCCTCTGGGCCAGAAGCAAGGAAACAGAAGCAAGCTAATCATCAAGATAGGCCATCAAAGGGAAATCTAGTATCGTTGGGTAAAAATACATAGTGTTGTTGCATAATGGTTAGATTATTAAAGACCATTTTATTCCATATTGTTTATGATAAGGAACCTCTATTGAAAATTACCCCTGTATGACCTTTGAAATACAGTATTAACATTTATTATTTCATTAACAGGAGAGGAATCCAAATATATTTCAAGGCATAATTTATATTTCCACATTAAAATGAAATACATGTATTTTGAAATATAATATGATATTGTGTGCTTTATAGGAAGAACAAAGACAAGAAGGGAACGCGGATATGCTGCCAGGAAACTATTCTGTGAAGAGACGGTAGAGCGCCCACTCCAGTTGTTTGTGAATAATCCTTTGATAGGACCAATATGTCTGCAACTGCATCCATCAACTCTTACATCAGCCTTAAAAGACAAACTTCAAGACCAACTTGGAATTGAACCAGAGAAGCAGCATCTCTTCGTCAGACAACAGCAGGTAATTTAAACTCGCTATTTAAACTCGAATTTAAGCTCGCTATTCTAAGATTTCCTGTCCCAAACCTTTGCTACTCTAGCTATGAGGTTTCGCTCTTGAAAAGTCTTGAATGAATAATTCTAATTCATTAGACGACACTTGTTAAATTAATGATGTTCCTTTTTTCAGCTACAAGATGGACTTCCCCTCAAATATCAGGCGATTGAGCCAGATGCTAACATAGAGCTACGCCTCGTGTCTGGGTTGAAGGGCGGAGCTGATGATGAACAGAAATCAGCAGGTAAGTCTTCATCTCGATCTTCTCCTGTATGTTAAAAATCGATCACTTGATCAGTTGAGTATAGTCAGCGCAAAACTAAAACAACATTCCAAGTCTAGTAATATACCATTATCATGTTGCAGCCATTGGACTTTTTCCCATTCAGATCAATGTTACCAAAGCGAGGCTGGAAGGAAAAAATAGTCTGGTTCCTTTGTACACAAAAATATTATCATTCAGTACTGTTATTGGATACAGGGAACATGAATAAAATGGTGGAAACATGATAAAAGTCTTTGAGAGATAATGCCCATGAGCATGATATAGCAATTAAGTGAAGTGTACACGTACAGTAACGTCTTGTATTTTGGTTAAAGGTTGGAGCTGATAAAGATCAACCGAGAAAGTCTGATGTATACTCTAGCGCAATGCATTTTATTGAGGATATCGCGTTAATGAGGGCGCAATTCAGTTACTTGCTGGTAGCCAGCGATGTGCGTGTGCTCTTGCACAGGGTACGGGGGCACC